AAAACAAAAAATTGTAAAAAAGTGCACAGCCAAAAAATCGAATTTCACATATTTTATTTCATGCAATATCTGAGTATTCAGTTTATTTTCAATTACTGAAAATTGGGTGATTAATTTTCGAGATGAATCTTATAAATAACCAGCTGAAATACACTCTCGCCCGGCCCTGCCCAGCTACACCCTCTTCACCGCAAGACCTACATGTATTTCGGATTGCGTTAAACCAAATCCTGCTTATAAGTAATATTAAGTAAAAAACAAACATTTATTTTTTGACAACATAAATATCACAATGAACTATATCAAAATAAAATTTATCAGTTTAGAAGATTTCAGAACAACTGAAATATCTGCTGTAAAAACTCGTAGGACTCATTGTTATAGCTTAAAATAATACACGTATAAATCCAGATTTATCGAATTAGCAAAGCAATTATTGATTATGGTGAAGGAATGATGAAGGAGTCAGTAATGGGTTTCTATTCTTCACTTGAGAAAAAATAATATTAAATCATCATCATCAATATTATTATGCTATAGTGAATATTCATTATTGTGATTATTAAGAAGTGTATTGATAGACGAAATATTCCGCACTCGAGCAGTCGGTCACGAGCTACATGTTGCTAGGTCTGTTTTAATGAATCATGAAATACGAAACGTGCATTTGACCAAGTAACTGAGATAAGAGCCATTCAAAAAAAATACTTTTACTTTTGGGATTAGAGAGTTCCCACAACTGTTACAAAACCCAAAAGGCATTTTTCACTTAATTTCTTTTTTATTCGTTTAGAAAACTTGAATAATAGAAAATTAATTTCGTTTAAAATTAATACTGATTTATTTTAAATATTAAACTTTAATTACTAGGTAACACCTATTAAATTATAAATATCAAACAGAATATGTTTGTCCAATAAAAATGTATTAATTTGGAAAACTAAATTTAAAATTGTATACAATTTCATTCAATCTTATAGAAAATCCTTCTGTTTAACTCAGAAAGCGGGGATCGACATGGAATGTTTATTTTCGAAGGGATGTATATGCTAAGAAAAGTTGCAAAGCAGAGGTAAAAGTTTCAAAAAGTGAAATTTTGCGAAAGTATTCCTCGAACACTTCTTTAAAGCTACATTTTGCAACACAAGATCCACTCCTAGAATCCGCCGGAGAAAGTAGAGGTCTAAAGTAGGAACCGAGGAACCACATGATGAGTTACCAAATGTGCGAAAGCGTTTCGAAAATTCAGCCGCGCCTCACAGCATTGAATATAGGGAAGGAAGGCCCCCTTATCGGGTTCGATAAATCTATCGCTGATTAGTTCTTGTGCGAGCATACCAACGTAGAATTTGCCACGACTCCCGGTACAGCGCTCAGATTAACACCAGCTGCTTCCGGAATGTAGTAGTCGGATTAGACAAATCTCCTATTACTAATGGGGGAATTTCTGCAGTCTACAAGTGAGGAAATATGTTGTTGACCGATAAATGCATTAAAGCCTACACAATAAAACACAAAATATGTCATTTTCATATGATCAAGACAATTATTATTATTATTATTATTATTATTATTATTATTATTATTATTATTGTACATAAGGATTCGAGAAATAGCCATCCAGTTCTATCATATCCACTTTACAATAATGTGGAACATATTCTTTCGAGAGTTTTGATATTATTACATGGCTCACACATCTCGACGTCATGTTCTGTAACATTCCATAAATTTCTCTGTACTACGCACATGTGAATGTAAAAATCTGCACCATGATTCCAAGAAAATATAGGTTTATTATTAGAGAAAAATAGGATTAAATACCATGAAAAATGCGTGGCTCCAATGCGATTATAACACGATACTTTAATGAAACGTGTCAAAATTAAGTCATTTAAATTGCTACTTTTTCATAAATATAACATTTCACTGCGAAGCATTGTATCGATACGCTTTACAATGCAATGACTTTGAGCGCGCCGAACACGTATTAAGAATAATGCTTTCATGAATATTAAACATTAAACTATTTTTTCCTCTCTCGTGACTTTAATAGTGCCCCTCTCGTTACATACGAGTAATCCACAAAATCAATTTGGACAGAGGGCTCGTTAAAAATAAAAATATGTACACGTTTTGTGAAGGAGAACATGGCGAAGAAGATGCATGAATTGTACGACGAAGGAGTCTTTGAAAAGTATAATTTACAAATAATTATAGTTATAATAATTGTTGTGCTAAGATTTGCTATCAAGTTTAGGTAATTAAGTAATGATCACATGAAAAGTCATATTTTGTGTTTTATTGCTTATGCTTTGCTGAATTTACCTGTCAACTCATATTTCCTCACTTTTAGGTCGCAGAAATTTCCCCATTAGTTTAGGAGATTTGTCTGATCCGTCTGCTACATTCCGGAAGGAGCTGGAGTTAATCTGACCGATGGGCCGGGAGGATAAAAATGGAATAATGCAATATGTTTAATGCGCGCTCTCTCATCTCCCTAAGTTCGTTTCCTCTCTCATTGTTAGGTCCTGGTGCTGCGCTGAGTTTGCTTATAACCCCCTTCCCCAGCCACACATAGTAAAAAAATTCCAGCATGTTTGCAAGTACACGGATATAGGCCAAGGCTCAATTTAGGATATACCACGAGGAAATAATGTAAAGAATTGTTTTATTAATGTTTTTCATGTGTCGTCCAATAGATGGCCATCTTTTGCTGAGACCTTACATCTATTTTATTATATAACTGATATTACATCTTTGTAATTATGTCTATTGTGAAGAGGGTGAACATAAAATTGCCAGCACTTGCGGGGGTATAAGATTTTTGTAAAAAATGGTACGACGACAGGTGGTCAAATGACGATATTTGTGAATGAATTTGTAAACGACCTAATATGAAGGATTATTTTATATATTTTTTCTGGCCTTAGGCCACCAGGGACTACCATAACACGGAACACAGAAATACAGAACACGGAATGCAATCTGAAATCCTCGTATACCGGTCCTGGCCGGCTGTGGTATAAGACCCTGACGGGTTCCTCCACTTGGGCGTTCAGTTCCTCAATGGCTGTTACGAAACCGCACCTGCCATGTGCGCCCTAGGGGGAGGGGAACCCGGAGAGGAAGCTCCAGCCAAGAAGGGGGGGGGGGAAGGAGGGGGATCGAGCGACAGCTTTCTCCTCCGCCGCTGGAGAAAGTCACGGCAACGCCTGCATCTGCCGCGCCCGCCACAGCCGCTTGCGTTTTGCGTCATCGGTCGGCCCCCTACGACTTTCCATACTTCCACAATCCCACGCGACGGACGCCAGGACTTCACGTTGGCGACATGATTCTCTACCCCGCACGGGCGTAAATCGCGAAAGCCCCGAGCCTCGCTGCCAACTTGGAAATCAACGCCTCCTAGATTATGAGGAAGCACTGTCGGAAATGCATAGCGATGTGTCAACTGAGCTTAGGTTAGGTAGATCTACCTACGCAAGTTTCGTTTAACTCTCATTTTGCTCGAGGCGAGACGACTGGGAGGCATACATTTGCGCGGGAAGGGGGTGTAACCCTCCTGAACCTTTTCATAGGGGCCCAATAGGGGTCTGGTAAATATTTCCAATTCCTTACTTTCCTGGCTTTACCCTGACCACTAAGGAGATTTTTAACGTCGCTTACGCAACTTACTCTGAGGGAATTCTAAGAAGACTCAGACCTCGGTAATGGTTTCTTGTCAACATTCCTTTGAACATTCCAATGTGGAACCTAATGGGTTGATACTGTCTTCTTGGCGGGGAAAATATATTTTTTCACAAGGGAACGCAACTCTTTGGCGCAACGTTTCTCAGAATCCTGCCCCTCAATTCGCAACCTACCCGCATTAAAAATCGCTATGTTACCTCAGAGTGTTTAATTTCCAAAGCACATTTTAAAATTGCACAAAATGTTTGCGCTGTTCACTTTAGTCCGCCGAATTTTGTAGCAATTTCGGTCTCACTGCAGTTGGGCTTGCGCAAGCCTCAGAAGATGCTATAATAATAATATATTTGTCACATAAATACAGCGTATGCCATGTATGACAAGTCAGGTTATGTATATAATCATACAATACACAATCGAAAAATAAGACATTTCTACGAACATAAGACCTGCACCATTCTCTTAAGCGTCCTTTTCGCTAAGGTCTAAATTTAATAAAAAAAATTGTGCCGTTTTTAAGAAAAATGTTTTAAAGAAAATAAAAATTGTTTGACACAAAAATTAGCAAAAAATACACATATTTTCAAAAAATTAAACATGACATTATTTGAAGATCTGTTTTTGATAAATACATTTCATTGAGAAAACGACTGATGCTATCAGCGACTGATGCTAACAGCGCATATTTTCTCGCCTGTATTTTCACACAAAATTACGAGAGAAGTATTAAAATTTTCGAAATATTGAACATTACCGTATTTCAAAATCTATCTTCAAGAAACAAATTTCTTTTAGGGAAAAATCTTTATCTTTAATATTTTAGTGTTAGACGCCGAAAAAAGTTTGAAACTTTTACAATTTTCGAAAAATCATAATTTTCAACGAACACGAGACCTGCACCATTCTCTTAAACATCCTTCACAATAACCAACAACGAAATGTAATGAAAAATAATGGAGCCACTTTGGTAAAAATTTGGAAATTTCCCCAGGAGCTTCATTTAAGCCCCCCTCCCCAAAATTAAGATGTAGGATTCAAAATGAAGGGGCGAAAATTCGCTGTTTTCCGGTGCACGATTACAATACTTTCTCTTCTTATGTTATTAAAGGCGTGAAGGTACAAGGGAAAATCTTTACTATTTGACAGAGGAATTGACAGGTGAAACATTTTAACAAGTCATTGTTCTTGATTTAAGAGTGCCAGAAAGATTTTTTGATTATTAGTAAACAAATAATGACATGCTGGTGAGGTTATCTTTGAAGCTAATTAGTAGTATGTTTAATATTTATTTGTAAATTTTGTCTGTATTTCAGGTAGCACATGGGCTCAAGAAATGGTATGGTGCATTGGAAACGATTTGAATTTTGAAGGAGCAAAGCAATTACAGCAACTCAGATGCCCTCTTCTGGAGTGAGTTTTCCATACTTCAATATGTTGGATTAATTGAAAACTAGCATTATAACATTTTTAATAAAATTATAAAATTTAAATACAAATTTTATAATAATTCACAAGAAAATGTAGAGGTTGTTTAAGTAAAGGGAGTTAAGTAACAAAGTGAGCTTGAAGAAAATTTCTTACGATTAACAGAATTCTGATGACAGAATTTCATGAATATTAAACTCATTGCAGTTTAATTGTAAATTTGTCAGGTAAATTACTTATTTTGTCATGTATATTGCCCTGAGCAACATACCTCCATCTTCACAAAAAATGACATAGTAACTGCCTTTATCCAAACACCAATGATAAAATTATATAAACTGGCAACATCACAATTTTTTTTTGCTGAAGTTGTCCATAACACTTCATACACATCTTGAATGTTTCATTTAACAAAGTCTACTAACAGGTTGACTGCAGTACTTGCCCACGACCATGGAGAATGGATGGAGGACTTGGGAAATTCAGTTAATTTGGTAGAAAACATGCCTGCTCCTCGGTATATAAAAACCCACTTACCTTGGGAACTCTTGCCCATTGAACTGAAGGAGAAAAAGCCGAAGGTAAGAAAAAGATCAACATGTTTTATAATTAAAAATCCAGAAAATACATGATAATAAAGTCTAATTATTATTCCTCAGATAGTGTATGTGGCACGGAATCCAAAAGACATGTGTGTGTCATATTATCATTACTGCAAGTTAGTTCATAATCTACAGGGATCATTTGAAGACTTCTGTGAACTCTTCCTCAAGGATCGAGGTAAACTCTGATTTGATATACTATGAAGAAAATGAAATATAAATTGATAGTATTAGCTTGTATCACGTTTTGTTTCTTTTTTCACTAGCTCCTGTGGGACCCATTTGGAACCACATTCTCGGTTTCTGGAAGAGAAGGCATGAACCAAATATTCTTTTCCTTACATATGAAGATATGAAAAAGGTAATGTTACCCTAATAATTTCCCATATGGAATTATTAGATTTGAGTTTGAGAATTTAGTATAAAACCTCAGAGTTATGTGCAATGTTTCATTCATTTTTTCATGAAGGAAGTATACAACAGAACTTTACACACATTACAGTAGAATATAATAGAAAACACCAAAATTCTTTAGTAAAATATAAACAGTATCTACTGTTTTGTTGTTTCAAATATTTTTGGGGCTTGCTTTTGCAATTTAAAACAGATATTTATTTTAATAATGCAAGACATTTCCTTACTAAAAGCACATGAAAGCTTTTGTCAAGGTTATTTATAACCAGCAGGGGAATGGAGGGATGCATCTCCAAAATACTTTTTGGAATGAGAGGTCTTCTGATAAGAACTCACTGGTAATTTATACCTATTGAGTAATCACTACCAATAATTTAGTGCTGGTATGCCCATGGCTTATGTATGCCATGGACCATTATGTAGCATGTAAAACAACATTCTAACACGTTTAGATTTAAAATACTTATATTGATGTGTAATTCCCACTTTGCTTGTATTAAGAATTAAAAGGTTTTTATTTTTCCTTTTGTAACATTGTAAGAAATTTGGCATAACACAGATAAATTTGGACTTTTCACAACTTAATTTCTCTAAAACAATACAATTTTTTTGTACAGGATCAAGAAGGAGCTATTCGCAAAACTGCAAAGTTTCTTGGGAAAGACCTTTCTGATGCTGAAGTCACAGAACTTGCAAATTACTTGAGTTTCAATAACATGAGAAAGAACCCAGCAGTTAATTTGGAGCCAGTAATTGAAAAGAAGAATGGGCCTAATTACATGGAGAAGAATCAGTTGTTTTTCATCCGAAAGGGAGAAATTGGAGATTGGAAAAATCACATGTCACCAGAAATAGCAGCAAAATTTGATGTTTGGACAGAAGAAAATCTTAAAGGAACTGGTCTTAAATTTTGAAAACTTTCCTCACTTTCTTTTATGAAACAAAACAAAAATGTGTGTATGAGAAAAGCAAAATTCATGAGAAAAAAAGGACAAAACATAAACAAAACAGCCCAAAATCTACTGTACAGAAACTTTATAAGTACAAAGGTGAAAAAGTTCAAAAGAAGGCCATTCTTGTCACTAATCCCAGTTATTCACTTAGATCATAAATTTCCAAGTGAAACGTAGCACTAATATTACATTGTATATTCATTTTTTTCAAAAAAGTTGATTGTTGTATTTTGTTATTAAGTAGATTTAGTGTAATAATTGTTATGATTAATTCAATATCAAAATAAATTTATAATAAAATTTGAAAAATGTGTCTGAATTTTCTTTTACCATTACAGTATACAGTATTCTATCAGTCTTGTATGTAGTATATATAGAATTCCTTCACAAAACTGCAATACAAAAAAATTGCATTATTCTTGTTAATCCATTGCATCTTCATGCTTCAATTGCAATGAAGCCATAAAACATGTACAACTCAACATATAACAATGCATAAAAATGACTAATGATTTATAATCTTAACCTGGCAAAGCTTGTGCTGGGTCTCTAAGACCCAGATCAATTAATTCAGTTTTCAGAAGTCTGCATGATAGAGATCTCCGTTGTTCCTCGCACCTCACCTCAACTTGTATAAGTGCGTTCCAAATTATGGATTTTTCAGGAATAAACGTTTTTAAAACATCCTGAATTCTGTAAATCCACTGCAACCGTTAGTGTTACATAGTGTGGACATAGTTCCAAGTGAGTATTTTTTATTAAAATGTACTTTACCCAAATGAATCATTGTACCAACATTATCACATTCTGAGTGAAGTTTTAATGAACTGAAAAATTCATATTTTAAATAAATTTTTATTGAACTGAATCTTTGACAAGAAGAGAATGCAAATGAATTGTTAGCTTCTCTTGCAGTCAGAATACAGCGGGAAGAGTAAGCTTTGGATAGATGAATGTGAAGATGACAAAGGAAAGGGAAAGTGACACTGACATTGATCAGTAAATAACCAATTGTGAAGACAAAGAAAGTGGACATAGTTGAAATGTGTTCTACTCACAATTGTTCTAGAAATTTCACATGGAAACTATATTGTGACGAATGTCATCACTTTAATTGTTTTATCATTTCTAATTGCATCAATAAATCAGAAGTTCAGATACAACTATTTCTCATGAATCCAAGTCTTGATGTTTTCAGAGCATGAGCTCACCAGTTTTGCAGTAACAAGCAATATTCCAAATGATGTAAGACTCAAATCAACATTTACTGCTGCTGTTGCAATAAAAAAATACCAGTTATAGGGTAAAGGCTGATGTCAAGACTATAAAAGAAAAGCCAGCAAAACTCAAATACTTTTCTTATAAGGGCAAGTATCTTTGCTCAAATGTCTTTCATAAGAACACCTATCTGTTCTGTCATGAGTGTCTGAGCAAAGATAAATAATCTCACCAAAGTAAATATTATTTTAAAACACACTTGTTTATGCTTTTATCAACACCTTAAGAAAACAATACTATTAAATAGTTGTAGCTTTAATTAATGACAGTTAAACTTTACTAGTAATTGTATACCCTACATTTACACAATAATTATTTTCTATAATATTCATATACCTTTTCTTCATGTTCATGTGTAATAAATGCAATCCTCAAATAGTGAACTACTATTAGCAATATTCAGATGTACTCAAATAGTTATAATAAAGGCCAAACATATGTCAAGTGAGTAGTATATAAAAAACACAAAAATAAAACGAAAGGTATGTGGAATATTGTTAAAAAAGCATTACCAGCAAATATACAAAATAACAAAATATTGAACTAGTCCATGAACACAGAAGTAACAAACCTAATGAAACAGCCAGTATATTCACAAACACTTCCTGAAATTGCTGGTAAACTACTAAAACAGAAAATCGAACACTACACCTCTACAACCATCACCTTTTCTTAAAAAACTCGCTTTCTAGCATGTACATTACAGAAACTATCGGAAAAGAAATACTTTTCAAATTATAAACAAAATGCAAAATAAACAATCTGCTGGGATAGACAACATTCCAGACTTCTTAATAAAAAATATTGCTCCCTATATCATCAAACCATTAGCATATCTATACAATCAATCACTAACTCATGGCTCCTTCCCAAACTTATTTAAAACTGCTGTAATTAAACCTATACATGAAAAAGGTAACAAACAAGATGTAATGATTTATAGGCCAATCTAACTCTTGTCAGATTTTTCAAAAATATTACAAAAACTGTTCTATGAAAGATTAAAAAACTACTTGATACACTGTAACATTATCACTGACTCTCAACATGGATT